ATATATATATATATATATGTATATGCATATAACTTATGCCAATATGATTGTATATAATTTTGTTTGAAGTGTTAATGTGCAAATAAAGAAACATTAGAAATCCTTAGTTTGCTTTTTAGCGGTTATCGATGACTGTAATTCGCGACGAATATTTAATCGTTAACGATATATGTTCTTGCAAAAAAGAATTCCGTAGATTATTTCAGAATTTCTTATTCAGGGAAAACACGTGTATACACGTATTATTAATCTGAAATCAAAAGTAAAGAAATTAAAATACGGAATCTTTTATCTTACTTTGACAATATTTTTTTTCCAAAAATAATGCTTTGAATCCTTCAAATTTTCCATCAAATATAATATCCACTTTCAAAACAGCGTATGCGTATACGTGTGCGCGCACATGTCGCTTTCATCGCGCCAAAAAGAAAAGAAAAAGAAAAAAAATAAAGTGACGAGGATCGAATGAGCAAGAGGGGGGGGAAAAGAAAGTGTGTCGCAAGCTGAAAAAGTTCGATCAGAGCGACACGGTGCCCGTGAATGGGTATGCCATTGGACTGCATTGTCTGGCCAATGAAGAAAGTTATGCAAAAGCGCGAATCCAATCGTTTCCTCGTACGACTGGGAAGAGTGTGGTGCGCGTGGATCGTGACAATCGTCGTGACACAAACAACTATGTGTGCGCGCGCATGTGTGCGTGCATGTGTGCGCGCGTTCCGTGCCGGTGAATACGAGCCTCGTTAACGTACAAGTGAGAAAGTGTGTTCACGAAGTTTATTGTCTCGTGATAATTCGGAATGTCGCGTATGCAACGGTGCGTAAAGCAATTAAGAAATGATGGACGAGTGAATTGAATCATTCGAGAGTTTATTATTTTTTTCTAATGCAGATGTTAAGCGGTTTTTTTCTTCTGTTTTCTTCCTTAATTTTTTTTTAATTGAACGGATAAAGAATAGAGATAAATTGATAATAAGTTGGAATTAATTTAATTTTGTTTTTGTTAAGAATAAATTTTAGGTCCTCCTCCTGTCGATTAAATTTGAAATTCCCGCCGAAATTAAACGAGCGATTAACGCGATTAGATTAGAAAGTCATGGTTCAATATTTGCCTTGTATACTTTATATAATTACACGTATGTTGGGTTAAGGTTATTTTGAAGTCATTTGAGACTCGTCTCAAGGCTATTTCAAGGTCAGTTGGATTTTTTTTCCAACTGGATTGTCCCTATACCCGTTTCTATGAAAATAGAACCATAACCTTAACTGGTTCAAGTTCACGAATTCGTCAACTTCTGAAATGGCTACTTTGAATGAATACTTTCTCTGTGTGTGTATATATTTTTTTATTTTTAATATTAAAAAATGTTATGTGTATTAACTTGCGATATTTAAAAGAACAAATGACGAGCGAAAATTTAATTTATTTAAATATTATTTCTTCCATAAATTCGTTCAATTAATAATTCTGCACTATTAATATCTTTTTTTTTTAATTCACATCTGTTTGCAGATCCACACCGAGGCTGACACATGAAGCAAAGATTCAAATGAAATAACTCGATGGAACCGGTGAAGCGACATTCATCATGATCCAAATAGGAATTATTTGATTCGTCTGTTATTATCGTTTCGATTAACAATGGCATCTAGTTTCATTATCGAAGAAACGA